GGTGAGCCGAGATCGCGCCATTGCACTCCAGCCTGGGTAACAAGAGTGAAACTCCGTCTCAAAAAAAAAAAAAAAAAAAAAAAAAAAAAAAGAAAGAAAATGCCAGGGAAATGCTATCAACAGCACCTACGAGTAGCTGGGAATCTTTCCAGTGTTAATGACAGACTCTCAGTGCCCACTAAAACCCAGAGTCCCTCTAACAGCGCCCAACTAAAAAACTGCCCTCCTAGAGAGATCTATGATCTCTCTAAGGCTTCTGTGACAAAGGACTTGAAAAAAAAAGTTACCGAAGAATATGACTTATCTCCTGGAAGTCAAGTTCAAGGAAAGTTAAATACATTAAAACTGTCCATCTCCAATGTAAAACTTCTGTTTTTGTTTTTTGAGACAGGATCTCACTCTGCCACCCAGGCTGGAGTGCAGTGGCGCAATCCTGGCTCACAGCAGCCTCAGCTTCCCACGCTCAAACAATCCTCCCACCTCAGTCTCCAAGTAGTTGGGAATACAAGAGCACGCTACCACGGCTGGCTGATTTTTGTATTTTTTGTAGAGACGGAGTTTCACCACATTGCCCAGGCTGGTCTTGAACTTTTAGGTTCAAGTGATTTAAAAACTGAAAATACTGTATTAATGGTAATGTTCAATTAACTGACCTTCATGCCTTTTTAGCACTGCCACAGATAAACATGCTCTATCTCTGATTCAGTTTTAAAATACTTTCCCCATTTATTATGAAAGGAAAAAAACAAAAAACCCTTACCCAATAATTATCTATACCACTGAGACCATGGAAAACTTGAAAAATTTCAACTATTCAAAACACCTGTGAATGTTTCCTATGGCATATTTCACCACTCACCTTGGCCTCCCAAAGCACTGGGAATACAGGTTTGAGCCACTGCACCCAGCTATAATACTTTTCTTTAGGTCTATTTACATTTCACCCTCTAACAATCATCAGTGTTCAAGCCGACTACCTCCCATGTAAGGTTATACTTCTTCCTATCCTCAACTGACCTCTCCCAAGTATTACGTAGTTGAACTCTTAGGCTAGCACAACAAACCAAAATTTGTTCAACGGCGACTATGAAGAGTGAAATATGACTGGGGAACAGAGATCATCTCTGTGCAACATTACTTGGCCCCCAAAGAAACCAAGCCAGCAGACATGGATTCTTTGCACCATGCTCCAACTATACGAGGGTAATATTCATTGAAACTCATCCCTATGATAGTCTATCTGGGTTCAAGCTAGTGATACCTGGATAGCAAGTATCTACATAGTCATAGACTCTAAATTATGAAACATTAAGATAAAAAATTCATCACACCCTTCATGGTTTTAAGTTACAAATAGAAGGCAGTATAGGGCCATGGCTAAGAATACAGGCATTGGTACTGGTATCCTGGGGTTCAAATCTTGATTCTGCCATTCACCAGCTATATGACCCTGTATAAGTTACCTTTTCAATACCTTAGTTTCCTCATGTGTCAAATGGGATAATAACAGTATCTCTCTCTCATAGGTTGTTGTGAATCTTGTGTCTATACTAAATTACTTAATACACAGAATATAGTTGATAGCACAGAATAAGTGATCAAA